AACTACTGGAGTTACTTTTATGTGTGTGGACAAAAAGTGCAGATCGCTAAGTACATATCTGGCAGGGTGTCTGGAAAAAACAGACACTGTGGCTGGGAGCAACACGAAAACCCACAGGTGATCTTATCATTTTAAGCTATTGTGCTGACATCACCCATTCACACACACAATAATAGATTAATTAGACAAACAAACATGTAAAGAGCCCAAGCTCTTAATGTGCACTGTTAGTTGCCAGGAACTAATCTTCCAGCATGGTGTGCAGAGGGATAATTGAAGAAAATTTACAGCTCATAGTCTTCCACTTTAACGACCACAGAGTTTTCAGTTGTGAACCTGAAGATCAAAACTACCAATTTGACAAAATTATAGCTTTAAGAGAAAACACAAGTCAACAACGAGCGGTCACAATGATTCATGCCCTGAGCCCGGATTATAAGAGGTTGTAAAAGACAAGGCAGATAATCCAGCGAGAATGTGTCGCCTCTGATTACAGCTGCCACTCTTCAGCTGGGATCAGTGTGTTGACAGATGAACCTGCTCTCAAAGGGAAATATCAACAAACTTGAGCTTTGAAATGTATGATTTCGACCTCTGACAATAGAAGGCATTTGCTAATAAGAAAGAAAAAGCTTTGCACTACCCTAACTTGTGATGGCTCTCTATGGGTATTACAGTGACAACATAATTTGCAGACTGCAGCTGACAGATTTACCACATCAGATATTTAGCTTTGCATAAATCACACGATTTGGCACAGGAGCAAGCTCTGATCATATACACTTACCTGACAGTTTGTTAGGTACACCTCTTCAACTCCTCAGTAAAACAAGTATTAGCCAATCACATTCTAGCATTTCAATAGATGTAGGCATCGTAGAGTTGACCTGCTGACGATTAAACACAGTATCAGAATGGGGAAAAAAGGTGATCTGAGAGACTTTGAAGATGGGATGGTTGTTGATGCCAAAGGGGTTGATATGAATATTTCAGAAACTGCTGATCTACTGGGATTTTCCACATAACAATCTCTAGGATTTATAGAGAATGGTCTAAAAAGAGAAAATGGAAAAACAAAAAGGCATTTGAAAATGCCTTGTTGCTACCCTGAAGTTAGAGGGAAATGGCCTAGACCAGCGGTCACCAACCTTTTTTGCGCCACGGACCGATTTGTGCCCAACAATATTTGCCTTTAAGGTGTCGCAGATAAATACAACAAAATAAAACTAGTACCGGTACCGAAAAAAAGATTTATTCATAACACATGTGAAAAGACCCAGGAAAACCGAGTTAACGATAAAAACGATAACAAAATAACGCTAAAAACCGATATAAACCCTGAAAAGCATACATTTCACACCCGAGTCTCAACTCTCACGGCCCGGTACCAAATGACTCGGTGGCTTGGGGGTTGGGGATCGCTGGCCTAGACTACTTTGATAGCTGATAGGAAGGAGAGAGTAAGTCAATTAACAACTCATTGTAACCGCGCACGAGACATTGAACCTTGAAGCAGATCCAGACAGAAATCAGCTTCTGCTGTAACATTCAGATGGTGCGATCAGAGTTTGGTGTGAGCATGAAAACAGGGATTAAGCCTGGCTTCCATCAATGTTTCAGGTTGGTGTTGTGGTGTAATGGCATTTGGGATATTTTCTTGGAACACATTTTGCATTATTAAACCACACAGTCTACCCGAGTATCATTGCTAACCACGATTATACTTTTACGACTACAGTGTGCCCATCTTCTGATGGCTGCTTCGAACAAATGACCTCCACAGTTCCCAGTTTTCACTTCAATCCACGTCATGGATGTGCAATCGACAAATTTGCAGCAACTGTGTGTGTGATGCCATCATAACAATAAGATAGACAAATCTCTCTCTGAGAAATGTTTTCAGCCTCTTGTTGAATCAGTAAAGAAGAATTAAGGCAACTTCGAAGGCAAAAGCGGGCCCATCGCAGCCCACTGAGTCTATATCCACATATGATTCCACAGAAAGCTATTTTGGAATTTTTACTTTGTGAGAACTGCTAATGATTACAAAGCACATGTGACATTTGTTAATTCTTAACTTGGTATCCCTATTAAAACATTCTGCGGCTCACACTAATACATCTGTCTGTCTTCAGCCTCTTCATGCCATGACAACACAGCAACTCCCGCAGCTTCAGAAACAAAACTGCACTTAAAAAGAGGACTGGCAGACAACAGGAAAATAATCACGAGATTGCTTTAATCAGGCCCTCAATACCACATCTAGTTCACCAACAACAATAACAGCCTAAAGATCTAAACAGACCGGGCCCGACGCTAACGCACTGAGGTTATTGTCTAAATCCCGAGCTGCTATGCTGGTCCTACAAAATGCAAACAAAGCTCAAACTATAACTTCTACAGGTTATCCAAAGACAAAAAATGAATCAAATGAAACCTTATGACATAAATACAAATACCTAAACAGCTTCAGACTGCCTCCACATAGTGCTCTGGATCTTTTATAGTGAGATATCCATTCCACTGTTATTCATTACATTCATCATTGCCCAGCACTGTTTATGGCCTCTAAGCTCCAGGAAGGCTCATACTAACAAGCCAATCTAGTCAAACAGTCACCTGAACACCATAAAAGTGAACACAAGTCATTTAGGCTTCATTTATCGTAAATGTTAGCGATTATAAAACAGCTCAAGATAATGAAAATACGCTTAGCTAAAACATAGTTTAATGCCAGGTAGGTACTTTTAGCACACAAAGAAACCAGATGATCTCACTTTGTGATTACAACAGCAGCGGATTAGTAAAAAGCAGTTTAATAAACCATTAACTCCTTGGGTGAAGCATTTCCTTCCTCCCCTCTGTTGCACAGATTTCTGTCTTGACATATGCATGTGAGTGCTAATGACTATGATTAAGGAAGCCCGGATTAGGTCTCGCTGTGGTTCATGACACATACACACAGACAGACAAATAGAAAGCTGCCCCTGTGATGAGTACATTTGGAGAAAGCCAAAAAACCCAGATAACGTAAACAAGGCAATGTACGGCTTAATTCAAACTTGAAATACACGCAACGTGTTTTCCACAAAATAGTGCTAAATGATACCGATTAGAATACACACCGCTGTAACCAACTCATCACTCATGTTCATGAAGGGGGCCTCTAGGATAAACAGAATATCTTAACGACGTGGGTGTACTATTCTAGCACACAATCTTAAGTGTGCTTAAGTGTGCAAAAAAGAAAAAGAAAATCCAGAGCTTTAGACAATCTTAGTGTTAAAGCTACTTTAATGCCTCCGTACATCTATTACTGGCTCTTGTACAAACATATTTTATTACAACAGAGTGCAGCTTTCTTTTTATTTTATTGCACGTGATTATTAATTATATGCAGACAAAAGAATGTGGCCAGCTAAAGAACAAAGTCACTGAAATTTATAGGCATTTTAGAGAAATACTCCATCCGTTAATACAGAGCAAGGGCAAAGCCTGAAGTATAGCACGCCATTTGTGCTTGGGAAACTAATGAATTATGTACTACACATAACAAGAAAATCACCCAGTAATTCTGTACTCATGGGGCTACGAGGTAAGCTCACTAGTCAGATAAAATTAGGCTCAAATGTCTGGACAATTTACAGTAACAGTGACCACCTCAGCTTGAGGAAATAAATCAGCTAACCACCCAGGCATTCACCGAGGGAGACTGGAGAGGGGCAACAGGTGGCTGTCAACTTAGAGAGAAAGAGGGTCATCATCCACTTAGAGAAGAGCAGCAAGTCTGTCGGTCACTCCCCAGGCTCCACTAAGCTAAGCCAAGCACCAGCAGGAGGAGAGAAGAAAGCCAGTTCAGTTGTGAGTTGTGTTCAGCCAAATATTCACAAGTACAGCCACGTTAAACGTGTGACATGTTACATCAAGCACTGATTAGAAATGACTTTTGGTTATCCACTGTTATTAAATCAGTATCGTTAACAACAAGAATTTAACAATGCATAACATATGATAGGTCTACTGTATCAATTACATAATTACAGTGTAAAACACATGAAAGAGAAATCCTTTTTTTGCAATCAACATGCGCAAACTTGAGTTAATCAGGTTGGAGGAAAAGCTGTGTTTCTCCGTTGTCTCATCAGTCCCTGAACGAGCAATTTTCCCAACCTTTCCATTATCATCAGCAGGTACAATAAACAACCAAGAAGGACCCTCAGATAGTTCTCTCATCATAGTGACCTCATTCAAATGAAAAATGTCTGTGTTTTTGGTTCACTTGTACTGCAAGCAGCCAAATATAAAATCTGACAATTTACAGCCTAATAGCCTTTGCAGACCTTGGGTTATTTTTGCACTTGATGCCTGCAGAGGAGGCATGTGTTCCTCCGAATGACACTACCGACAGCCTCAATGCTCTACTGGAAAATGACTTCTTAAAAGCATGTGGAGTAATTTATTGTATTAAAAATATTTTAAAAAGGTAACAAAACAGATAAAACCTTGTTGGTTTAATCTTTCCATAAAGATGTGGAAAAATAAAGTAGCTAAATCTAAATCAGACAGTACAATGCAGTTAGTAAAAGATTAGCCATCCTCAGTTTAATCAAAAGGCTTTTTGTGTGTGAGCGTATGGGTCGGCACACATGCCATGTGCATGCATGTTTGCATATGTTTTCACTCAGCTCTATGCTGGTTCCCTCACATTACTCAAAGATACCAGGAGGCCCAATTAAACAAAGTGACAGAACCCAGTAAGTCCAAAAACATAAAATGTTTTCAGGGTTTGCTCCGTGCCAGTGCTCTGTGTTCGTACTGTTGCTGAAACGCTGCAGTCACTTGGCTTTTTTCCACAAGTGCTGCTGTGCAACTTTTACAAGGATCTACATAAAATAATCAACTGGTGACAGAGCTAATTAAAGCTGATGTAGTCAGAAGGAGACAAATTATAGAGGGAAATGTGACAAATGCCGAGTTTGGAGCACAGTTTTATTACTCACCGATGCACGCGTGAACTCTGACTGATAGCTGCGTTCGAAGAATGATGCCGTGTTTCTTTCCTCGTCTACAAAGACAAAAGACAAACGGAGATAAAGCAACATGTCAGAAGGTATTGGACCATTGTGATCATTTCAATTTTCATGTGCGTGCCAGACATAGGTGCACATGTTGACAGGATAATGGAGCTGAAAAGCTGTTGTTAAATGGTGCAAAATGATCTTCGAGCCTTTTTCAACAAGTTATTCTGTTCCGTTTCAGGCAACATTTGCAGTTTGAACACAGCAGGAAGCAGATCAGGGAAAAGGTCTTCATCAATGAAAATGAAGGATGGGAGCAACTCTGAGGTCAGCTCCACCCCCTGCGTTAATGGAGATATGCCAAGACCCTGTCAGCATCCTGTCAAGAGCTCACAATGTGCGAATGAAAATCAAAAACAAAGAAGACAACAATGCCCCTGAATGCTATTCAGTCCTGATAGTGAATGTGAGAACAGTTTAGATCCCTCAAAAGTTAATTCTCTAGTGTCTGTGAACAGACACTGAAGTTTGCAAAAGTTCAACTCTCAATACTTTGCTGCTCCCATACTCGGTGTGTGGTACTCCCAGACCTAATCATTTAACAGTTTTTAATTACTTTCATTTTAAAAATAAAAAAATTATAAAGTGGGTTGGTTGATCACCATTTTGCTTGAGGTTAGATCCTTCATTGGGCCTTTAACCTCCCAACTACCTAAAGAAAAACACAAACAAACCTAGCAGGCCAAATGTAGACAAGAGCACAGCAGGTAGAGTTGCGCAACACCCCCCTACCCTCCCTTCCTAATTTGGCTCACTGACAAATGGGCTTTTATGCTGGCTGCACAGAGTTTGTGTGATTGTTCTGACCGGCGCAGTGCCAGCAGCAGACTGTCACTTTCAAACCGTCGGGCGTGAGCGGCTCTGACAGAAAGAGAAAAAACTGTATCGGTGCAGAAGGCACTTCCTACTGCTGCTTCGCCACATACAAACAGACCCAGACAGACTGACACACTGACATTTTTCCTGCCCCAACCAGTCAGCGGGAGGCCGAGCTGATACGCGCACAAGCGCGTGACATGACAGGGGAAGTCTGCTTATCCTCACTGTTTATCAAATATAATATCTCGCAACAGGCAGAGGTGACACAGGAGCAACATCTGTCAACAGGGCCCTTCGCTGCGAGATGAGACGGCAAACAGGAACTTTATCCCTTGTGATGCTGTTGAGGCAAATCGGTAACTAGACCCATTTTGTCACGAATGTCTGCTTTCTCTCCGCTTAGATGCAACAGTATCCCTGTGCTTAACCAAGACCTGAGGCTACACAGGCCAACGTGCTCATTATCAAATTAAACAAACGTGCATGGAATATAAGTGAGGTTTTCAGACCCCGACCCCCACCACCACCAATTAAACTTGAAAATTGAACACTCCTGCAGACAGTGCTGCAGGCCTATAAAAGATGGAGCCCAAACCTTCTTAAACAATGAAAACTATAAAGAATGTCAGCTAAATAACAAATTGGGGGCATGCTGGTATATAATAGTGAGCCATGAAAATCTTGTGAGCCAAATTAACCTTGATTCATAATATACATGAAGCTTCTGAAATAGGTGAATCACTGAATTACTACTTTTTATAATATCACGAAAGGACTGAATGCAATCTAAACCACTTACTTCCTACTTATGTCATACTTCCTGACCATTACACAAGTCGAATGGTCAAAAGTAGAGCACTTGATAATAGATTAAATGAAAACATATGGACATTGTTATTTTGTATGAATATTTATAAAAAGTAGTGGGCATTTCAAGGCACCAACCAAATGCTCATCATCATCAATTTCTCTATCAAACATAGCAAACAGGAATGCAGCTGCAGAAAGTTAACAACTGTACCCGACAAAAAAAATAAATAAATAAAAATTAAAAAAATAAAACCTTACGTTCCCCATCTTGATTGCCCCTTTACTGCCCCGTTGTACAGCACCTCATAAAGCTCGGGCTTAATCCTCACACAGAGCAGCAGCAACTGGACCGGTGGATGCCTGCCAGCTCAATGCTCTCTGGCTTTATCTAAGGGAGCATTACTGGCCCTGTTTATAAAACATCACAAAATGTGTACCCACAGAAAGTGAACACACATACTTGGAATACAGTAAAGCCAGTGCTTCCCCTCAAAGACCAATTAATGCCAGACAAGAAGGCCCCGCTGAGGTCTACTGACTCAGCACTTCTTGGACACCCCTGTTCGAGAAGGCTCCCGTATCACTGCGTCTGTAGCGGGACCTCCAGTGCCCGAGTAAGCCAGGTGGGGTAAAGTTTTAATTCTGACAATTACTCTGGTTCTTTTCAAGTCAACTTTTTCTTCTTCAAATGAAAACCTTGTGTGCTTCGAGCATCTATGAAACAATGTCCAAGTGGGTCAGAAAAAAAGCGAAAATAAAGAAAGCAGAGCTGCCCTCGGAGACATGAAAGGATGTGATGAGAAACGCTGAATTTCTGAGGCCTTCAGAGCAAGAACGGATAGATTTTTAATATGTCTGACTTTTGAATAGTTGTCAAACACATCAGAAACACTCAATAAAACCAGCAAGAGCATTTTCAGCATATAATTGCTGGCTTTCTAACAGAAATTACATCTACTACAGCGTGAAATGCGAAAAGGTGAAAGAAAATACTAAAAAAAAATCCACATGCTGAATCCATTATCCAGTCAATAACAGCATTTCATGTTATCCTATAAAGACAAGCCAGGGAATATGTCTTACAATGTGTCAAGCTCGACACATAACTCAACACTATCGCACAACACTGTTTTTCCCCTAAAAGATCAAAAACAAATTTGCTACAACTTTTCTATCCATCCTGGTCCTACGAGAACACGTCCCGCATACTCCACCTCCAACTACAGTGCCAAAAAAACAGCGTGTGTGTCAATCTATCACAGCTAGAATACACACACACTCTGCCAGGAACTGTGCAGATATGCCTGTGCACGTGTCTGAACTACATGGTCAGTTTGTAACCAGAAGTGGGGTGGTATCAGAGAGGGGACAAGGGGATTTACGAGTCACAATCTTGTATAGCTGAGCTACATAACGTGGCGTGGAAGTGATTATGGCCCTTAAGCGCCCGTGACATGGATATCTCCTGGCTCTCGCTGCATTCTGTCAGAGGATCATACTTTAATCTGATTGTAAAGACACTAGGTATGACACAGGCGCCTCAGGAATGTAACCTGTCATTAATATCAATTACAAATGGATTCAATTGCCAATGATCAGGGGAGCTCAGAACTATTGCACTACTCCCTTTTCTAGTAGTAGGTGACTTAGCTTAAAGCTAAAATAGTGAAAGCATGATGAAAGCATCATTTTCGCTTGTCATCTGAAGTTATTGCAGGAGGTTTATTTTGAGATAAACGTGGAAAACCCAGAAAGTAAAAAACAACCGTTGGTTTTGTCTGGCAAGTCAGCTTTTTTTTTCTTCTTTAGGTTAAATCCTTGGGTGTTATGACTGCTGCTGACAGATCATATGCAGTAAAAATGAGAGCGAAAACAAAACAAAATGGAACAAGTAAGGGTGAAATCCCTCATCAGACCTTTTATTGGCTCAATAATCATCAAATCAAGAACACTGAGCAGTGGGGGGCGTAATTCTGGGCCCATCAGCACTGCAAAAAGCCAATGAGCAGCACTGCCCTATTTTTACTAAATAATTGGCTAACCACCTTCACCCCCCCCCCCCCCAGCCTCCTCAGACAACGCTGTGTGGGTTTAATGACACACATCCATACCAGCTCGTGCCAGCTGGCACAACACCGACCCATGCAGGCTCAGTCTTTGACGAGAGAAGAAGTGGACCACTTTAACCTCACAGCTCTTAATAGCCTCCAATAAGCTCCTAACAATTTCAGCTGGAACTGGGAAAGGCCAGCACTACCAACTTCCAACAGAAACACCAAGCCAGAGAGCAGCTTATGAATTTCAAGTTAGACAAATAAATCCATACATGTTTGTGGTCCAACTGACCAGGAACTTTCATGCCAACCTTTGGTTTGTGATCATCTAAAGTGGGCAGTACATGAAGGATGTATCAACATACTGCACAGTACATGAAAAAAAAATGTATGGAGCCAATAAAGTAAATGGCCAAGGAAAATGTATGAACCAGAAGTTAACCTAACACAACTGTGAACTTTTTCTTCATCCAGCTCCAGGAGCTGTGTCAAGCCAAAGCAATATCTACCTACACATTACGCAGAAACAATATGGCTAAATCGTTAGCTGAGTGTTAGGAGGGTGTATACTGTGTAGCTGCCCCAGTGCTCTAAATGAGAACCAAAGTAAAGTCACAAAGAGATGTGGGTGATTACTCATGAGACATGACTAGAACACAAGTGGTTAAGATTACAACCTTGGTGCCACTCGACACAAATAGATCAATTTATGGAAATTCCAGGATTTTTCAGTCTACTAAAAAAAGGGCACCAGTATCACCACCGAACCAACTTTATAAAATCCTGCAACTGCTACTACTGCAAGGTCTTTTAAAAATACAACAAACACGATCATTTTAGTGACCTGCATGCAGATAAAATACCCTTGAGAGACTCACAAAACCTATGTGAGGAAAATCAGAGTCTCTTTTTCCTAGGAGACTCTCAGGTGGAGTAAAGACCTTCTCCTCTGTTCTTTTAATAGAGGAAGGCACAGTTCAAAAAAGGATCATTCGGAAAAGGGATCATTCATTCTAGATCCAAATAAGTATCATTAGACAAATCCCTTTAATAGTATTAAATTAGGCAAAGGAATATAGTAAAAATGTTTATTAATATGCATTCCCAGTGGCAAGGATTAAATACTATAGCTTTTCCCTCTTGTCTTGCTTCAAATCTCTCTTCCACTAAAAATACTCACATTGTACTGAAATATGCCTGACTGTCAAGATTTTTTTAAGTCAGACTGTTGTAATCAAAAGCTTTAAAATCACTCAGTCCCCCCCCAAAAGAAAAAAAGTATTTGCACCGCTATTTGACCACAGCAACAGGAACAATCTATTCCTGGACAATCAAAATCTGGCAAGCATCGTACATTACTGTATCCACCTGCTAGACCGTGCCAGTCCCACTTTAGTTTTCAGCTTGAGTGGCTCTGGCATCAGTCTGAGCAGCACCTTTTGAAGTGCAAGGAATATTAAGGCCAAGTTTTTTAACGCCAGAATCTAGTTTTATTTCAGCTTTTTAAATTCAGCACAGTGTAGAGAATGTTCTTCATTTCGGCGGCTGTGCACATTCGCCGAGAGTGGAGACAGAAATGGCGGCGATTATTATCTTACCCTCCATCCTCCTGAAATCCCTCCAGTTCATCTCGCTGTTCTGCCAGCGTAGATTCCAGGTCCAAGTAGCTTCCATTATGGGACAGCTGAAGGGCACAGTCATCGGGCTAAACAGGAAAAAGGCACAGTCAGCATGTATTCAAAATGCTGTGTTAAGAGATATTTATGAGCATTGACAGTGGAAAGATGCTTTGGGAGCTTCTGAATTGAATGACACACATCAGCTGAACAAATGGCACTGACATCCAGGGGGTTTGAATAACTATTTGTGTTTCACGCCCATGCAGGCACACAACTTTAAAGCTACACACAAATGACTCGTAAGAATTTTAGACAAGTAACTTTCTTTAAATATTTTAAAAACTTTGCTGTTTCGATGGCTCCACAGACACATGCGTAGCATATTTCAGGTCTATGTCTGTTCGCCGTGAACCACAGAAGGCTCTTTTATCAGCTCCTGTCAGTGCTCTACAATGAAAAACTGTGCAAGGTTGCAGAGAAGTCATGCAGATTTGAACGAGCTTGGCAGTCTGCTGCCTCTTATCTCGCTGCTCTCCTGTCTGATAAACTATCATCACATATGATGACTTTGCAGAGGAGGTATGATTTGTCTGGTCTTGAATGGTTGTCATCACCAGACTGTGGTCAAAGAGATGAAGAATGAGAGTGACTGTTCACTTGTCTGTTTGACCTCCAAATTGGAGATATTAACCTATTTATATTCAGAGTCTGTCAGCTCCACGGGACAGCGGCTCCAACAGCGAAGCAGAGGAAAGGAAAACAAATACCATTATAGGAGGGCGTACATATGATGCGAGTGCAGAGAGTGGCACTGCTCTGCACCATCAACAATCCGAGTGTCTAAACCAACAACGATTTGTACAAATACGTTGAACTCCAGTAACCTGTCTTTTTTGTCAGCCCTCACTTGGGCTTTGTAAAGCAACAAAGGCAATGATACCCTTCCATAAATACTACTTACATAGGCAGCCTGCAAGAATTTCTCTCTTAATGCACAACACATGTAAACATAAGTTTAACATGCAAAACCATGTGTTTTTTAAATCGGACCAGTTATTGCCTGGTCCGATGCAGTTCAATTTCCTTCCGCATATGACAGTAACTTAATTAAACGTGAAAGAACAACCCTGGGAAAGACATTACAGCTTTGATCTGTTCAGCCACTCTGCATTACTGCACTACAGCACTCAAGGACTGTGTCATATTTGAGAGCTGAAACAAAACATGTGGTTGGTTGGGATAACTTTCAGTCTCTCTCCAACTCACTCTCTGGCTCGGAGCTGTCTTGTTTGCTGCCCAAACCAAACGATTATTGGGAATATAAAAAGATGTAGAAGCGGAGCTGAATATCATTTTTCTAAAGGAGACATCGGGGGATGAGGCAAAGAACGGGGTTGACGCAGGAGACAGGTGAGGAGATCGTGCCCTTCCCAAGACATCTGCAAGTCTTATTTGTAGATGTTCTTCAGGTGAGGCAGGGCGTGATAGAAAAAGACTTGTGAGTGAAAACAAGCACATCTATTCTGCACATAGTCGGTAGCGGGAAGCAAGTGATTCTCCAGATTACAAGACAGATTCTGGCCTGACAGGAAAACCAGGCATAGGGGCCCAAGTTAGGCCCATGATTTCTTCTTTTTTTTTCCCTTCTGTTTTTTTATGCCTATGGACTGACATGCCTTTGAAAATAAAAAGAGGGATAGTAATATGAAATGTTGCATGACAGAGAAGACACTTTAAATCATACTGTATGGAGTGACCAGTAGCTGGGCCTTAAATAACCTGTAAGACACTCAACAATCCCAGAAACAACGTATTTTTGTTGAATGTCAACTTTACGTTTCCAAATGTGGTTTCCTTAATGTTTGAAAAAAATATGTACTACATGACCATAAGCCAGTAGAGGTTAGCCTTTTTGTCCATCCATCTATTTTATTCCACTTATCCATTTCAGAGTTACAGGAGGGGCTGGAACACACCTTGGACATGTTGGCAGTCCGTTACAGGGCTAACGCAGAGAGACCGACAACCATTCACAGTCACACCTGGAGAGGACTCACACAGGCACAGGGAGAAAATGCAAACTTCCCATGATGCACTGAGCATTTCACCTTCACTCACTTCTTTTCACTCTTTTGTACTTACTGTATATGCCGCTTTGCATTTAACTACGGTACTAGTTATTATTAATAATTAAATGGCTCTCGTCCACAGCGTGTCTTTCGTCCTGTCACCCACCCCTCACCCCCAAGCAGCCTGGTTCTTCCTGAGGTTTCTTCCTGTTAAAAGGGAGATTTCCCTTCCCACTGTTGCCATGTGCTTGCTCATGGGGGGGCATCTGATTGTTGGGGTTTTCTATCAGATATTGTAGAGAGAAATTTTACGTTACAATATAAAGCTCCTTAAGGTGGCTATTCTTGTGATTTGGTGTTATATAAATAAAACTAAACTGAATTGTATAAGCCCTATAATTATGACTGTGCAAATGCCACTAAATTACAATCCAAAAAACCAAAATACATTATTACAGGTAGATTTGTCATTTTGCTATTTTATACTGTATATATTATACTTTAAATTATACTTTACATACTGAAAAAGATGGATTAGATAACAAGACCAAACAAAATATTTGTACTCTTTCAGCTTCACTCTGTATCACAACCTGAACTGCACAAAACACTGGGCTGAATCTGCAGCTGTAACCAGTAATTAGCCAACTGTGGAACCAAGAAATGCAATTCCCCACACATGGGTTTGACTTGCAGACCAAAATCAACAAAGGCAAGAAAAAAAACTAAAAAAAAAAAAAAACTTGCAGTGAATTACACAAGTTTGCCATTAACTAATCCCCATCTGTACACCCATCTTTTCTTCCATATAGCCATAAATCTATCCTCTAACCAGTGTCACTTTAGGCGCTCTTTATATAATCAGTGTGGATTACTTCACAGGAATTACAATGTACAACCAGGCCAGGTTGATGCACTTTAAACAGCTCTTAATCCAGGAATAAGTGCTACCAGATTATCAGAGGCAGAGACTTCTTTAGCTGTCTCCTGCCCAGGACTTGAACCCACAGTGGCCCTGTGATGGCCAAGTCCAGAGAAGCAACCACAAGCTCCTCTGCTCACACACTGAGGTCTGGCCTCTCCCTTCAACCACCATACTGTGGTCCACTGACCAGGAAGGCAGTTAAGGCAGAAAGAACTAAAAATAAACACCATGCAATTTCAAAATTAAAACTGCTATCTCACTCCAAATTTCTTTATATTCCAGATGGGAAAGACATTTGGAAAGCTAGCTGTAAGCAGCGATGAGGGGGCCAAGCAGTTCAGCGGGTCATAGCCTGCAGTTTGATCTCATTGTGTTAAAAGTGTGGCTGTGAGCACTGAAGGGAAAAACAAGTTCTCTATTATTATTTATTTATACAAACAAAAAGTGGTGCCAGCACAATAATCACTGATTTAAAGCAAACAGATCATCAGTTTGGAAACAAATGACATTTTTTGGTTCTTGCTATTTCTCCAAATGGTAAACTGCACTCTGACCCAAAAATGGGTCAAGAGTGTTGATGACATATGAACTCACTTCCTGTTTGGTAGCTCTAATGGAAACAGGGAATATGGTTCACTAGTAATGTGTGTTAACAGAGCTGCAACTTTGACCAGCGGAGTGCTCAACATGTAGACAGGACAACCCTTTTTTTTTTTTTTTTTTAATTTAATCACACACAGGGGCTGCCATTAACTTGACCAGCAGAAGAAGACAGAGCAGAGAAAACGGTAAAGACGTCTATATAGCAACCACAGTGGACTACAAATCAGTTTAGAGGATTAACATCTGGCTACTTTAAAAGCTTCACATTTGCTCGATAAGGTGGAGATGCAATTTGTGATATTTCTGTGAGAGCAAGTGATTTAAAACACATTACACCTGATGCATGAACACAAAACCACAACAGTAACCTTAATTTTCCTGTCCAGTCCAAGGCAACTTTTTTCCTTCGATGTGTTCCTCTGAAAGGAGCTGAGACAACACTCCAAATTAAGAGAACCTCAAATCTGCATGACAATGTGTAAAAGAATTCAAAGGGAGCTCTGACAGGCCTGAAGCAGGAACCTACATTTTGCAGCATTTAACATAACTTCTCATTATGGGACAAAAAAATGCAGAAAAACAACTGTCCCACAAACTGAAATTGGTAAAGTGAGAGTCCATTCTTCAAGACCTCGCTTAAATTCTGTTTTTATAAACTGATGCAAGGCCTCTGGGCCACAAAACCCCGAAATACAAAACACAGAGAGAGAAGAAAGTAAATGAAGGAGTAATGAGCTATTGATTTGCCCTGAAAAACGGAATATTTTGAATAACTCTGAATAACGCTGAAGACAATGCATTATTCACTAGGAAACCAAATGTCTGGGTGAGGTGGGAATCACTCCCTTTTACCGAAGCAGCACAAAAGATACCAGATTTATATTATACAAAATGGTCTTCAAGCAGAATAAAAGATACTACAAACTATATTACACTATGATGTACTGTACATAAGACATACCATCACATTTCAAGTGAGTCTCCCACCCTCACTGAGAGTTTTCACTATTAAAAATTAACCTTGTGCAGCTATAAAAATCAGTTTCTACAAACTGATATTCGACTCTGTACAGCTACTTTTCCAAGTTGTCATCCCATGTATAACCCAATCCAGCACACACAACTGATCTCCACTCTGGAGAATGCCCACAGAAAATGACAGTAAAATCCCTAAAACAGCATATGTCAGCTGTTTTGCCCCTGCACCATGTGTTGGTCACGTACTATTTATAACAGAATGGCCGGCACTGTAGGGATAAGACAGCCTTGCTGTATTCACAAGGTCGCACTAAAGTCTCGTTTTCAAACGTCTGATGGTGTGAATCAGGGAGCTGCTTGGTCAAGCGCGGCGACGCAGTTGCGTCACCCACCTGACTGTTTTTGTTTACGAGAAGAACAGGGACTTCCCCCTCAACTTAAGGCTAACCACCAATGCCCATGTGACCAAATCTCACTAACCAGGCCCTGCGCAGCCAACCACAGGTACTCCCTTCTCTGTCTGCTTTGCGGTCCAGCTGGTCTGCAGCTAAACTGAGACGGTGCAAAGTACATCAGCTCCTTGTTTGTGTTTTTAATTTTGCCCACTTCCTTTTCGGTGGAAAGCGTCCCCATCCCATGCTGCTGGTCAGACTGAGCAGGCTGCAGAATGAGAGCCTGGCTTGTGGTGATCCACAGCATCCTGAGGCTCCTATGACTTATCTCACCAGCTTGACTCAAACAAGATGGAGTACCACTGATCTGACAGAATGAATAAAGACCCAAATTAACTCCCCATTTATGCAACTTTCTACCCAGACTAAGACGAATGCTCAGTAAAAAGACTCAGCCTCAGATGATATGGTCTCTGTGATTTGTTTAAATTTAAAGGTCAGTAGATGGGGCTTCACAAAATCTAATCAAGAGGCAGAAATATGCCAAGACATTTAACTTCTGGAGGCATCCAAAGGGAGAAAAAGAAAATGAGTTTCAGGTCTACTTTTGTCAACTACTGTCTCCAACATTTTGGATCTTGGGAAGGCCATTGTTTGCAACCAAAAAGAATGTGCACTGCTTCACCTCCTCAAAAACCAAGCAGTAAATGGAGCCTGAAAATTGAGGGTGATCAAACACAAATACCTTTCTATTTCAGACTAAAGAAAAGCTGGTTAACAGAGTCAAAATACAAAAAAAGGGGCTAGAAAAAAAGCACGTTTGATTAGGAAGACATGTTGCCAATTCAAAATCACAGATCTAATCAAGCCAAGTGGGAAATTATCCTTTTCCATCCTTCAAGAACTGACCAACTGAGCATGATTTGACCCAACCTACTTTAATTCTCCACATGGGCTTCCAGTCTGTCCATTTATGACACTGCAAATAGGTCGCCTTCTCCCAAAAATAAGTTGTTGTTTTTTTCCTTTGAGGAGGTTAGATTTTCAAGTCAAACAATCATTAAGACTGCAACCACAAATGTCTTTTTTGCTTATTTGTTTGCGTCTCCTCCTTTGCCAACCACAAACAGGATACTTTTTTCCAAACTTTGAAGGAGCACCTAAAGTCTTGGCAGTGCACAGGTGGGTAATTGATGTAAATATTAACCGATGGCAGCCCCTCCCCAACCCCAAATAATAGGTATCTAATCTACGCCTACACCGCCTGGAGTTATTCTGTCTATCACAGGACTATCACGCCGAGAATCAGTAACTATTTGAATGCACGTCTATGCCCCATCAGCATCCCCTATCAACAAAGTGCTTACTAAGACGCTTGCTCATTGGTGAATTGGTTTTGTTTGGTAGTAACACAATCGACCTGTTCAAGCTAATTATTAATTTAGGCGTTGATGTTACATTTTAACTCGTGCTTTTAACGAAACGTGCACAAAAACAAAATCAAGAGGTTAATCGTGCGTTGCATACCTTGTGTGGGGCTTTTAACAGCCTGTGGACTCCAGCAATCTGATTTATCAGAGGGATATCTTCCCTGAAGGTGTACAGAGGCGGTCTGGTGGGCTCGGGGAAATTGGTGCTGTTAAATGGATCAGTATCATCTAAAAACTGCACCCTGCATATAAATGTAGCCATGATGTATCCATGCAAGGCGAGTTTAGATGATCAAAACAGTGGATGCGGCACTACGGTCTCTGACAGAGGCGCAGCCAGCCCCCCCTCCGGACAGCGAACTACCGGCAGGTCTTCTGCAGTAACAAAATCCTGCACCCTGTTATCCTTGGACCTTCCCCATTTGTTTCACTCAGCGTAGATGTGTCAGGACAGTGTGCGCAAAAAGTCCCAAAGTAGAGATCCGGAGTAACTCGCTGAGATGTCACGATTAGTCAGTGCGTGGCGGAATCGAGCGGAGCGCCAGTGTCCAAGGGCATTGCGGGCGGTTGAGGTGCTGAGGCAGACTGCGGACGGCACTGCTACACTTGGCGCCTGGTCTATGGGAAGCGGCTCCCTCCTCATGCATAAAGCCTGAGAAGGGACACTGCAAGCCAGGTCCCAGTCAGCCCGGCAAAGCTCGGATTACACGCGATATAGCGGCCTCCAGTGGGAAAAAAGCAAAACGGATGCTGACAGTCCTTCGACTCGGTGTTGACAAACACACACTAGAGCTATAGTGGACACCAGAGTTATAACATATTTGTGTTTTCTTATTAGTTTTTATTTTTGTTTCGCTTTGACCTTTTAATTCAGTTTAGTTTCAGTGAGTTTCCAGAGTGGATTTTCTTGCTTCAGCTTAAAATATTTAGGTTCAGTGTTTTAATGTTGTTCACTTTTAATGTTTATTACTTTTTCATTCATGGGAAATGCCAGAGATGAGATTTAGGAAAATAATTCGATATTACAATATAAACAGAGCTTTTTGAAAGCAGTTGACTCGCAGCCTTGTAGACACCCAAACTTTAATAAACGGATGCTTTAAACCCTCATCATGCAGTTTGTGATAACAAATGTTAACAAATTAGAAACACCTAAACTAAGGATTTATTCTGTAATGTTATTTTATTTTAATTGCTGTTTTAAAAGTTCACAAAAGGTCTAGGTTTGTTTTCCTTTTAGATAACAATTTCTTTTCCCATTTAGTTTTAGTTAACTATGATAACCTTGTTTTTTTTTACCAGAAAAAAACACAATGCTGCATATATTTTGAAAAAAAAAATGCATCTAACAGCAATATGTATGATCTAGTTTTAGAAGTAAATTCGTGAGCTGTCTAAAAATATGCCTTATGGTACATTTCTGTATTACTGAGTTTTATGCTTATACCCTGGTTACTGATGCTTCATGGGAGTGGTTAGAGCAATTGAAAAATATGAAACAAATCTCCAAACATCTCTAGAGTCAGCTGTCTAACATTGCGTAGGTCCACCCTGAGCCTCGAACAGTTCTGACCTGTCAGTGCATAGCCACAGAGCCTCTGGGGCTGTCTCTACACACTGGCATGTTGGCAGCACAACCTTGGCTGGTATGGGTTGTTGGGTGGGGCCTTCAGGGATACACGAAACAAGCCTTCAAGGCTTTCTACAAGAAACACAAGAAGGCAAAGTTCTGCTATAGCTCTGTGGTTTGGGCTTGTTCCGGGCACTCCCATGACGCCTGTTTAGACAGGGATCTGGGAAGCTTCGAGGCCAGGTCAAAGCACTGGGTTTTTAACGTTCCTCGAGTTGTTCCTAAGTAGCATTTGTGGTGGATTTGTGGTGGAGGAGGCTGCTGCCACTGAGGAGTGCTTTCGTTCAAGTAGGTGCCATCCACATAAATGCCAGGACTCCAAGGCTTTCCAGACAAACATTAAATTGTTGTCTGTTTGATGGTCATTTAAAAACCATGCAGCATCACCCAGCTGCTCATAAATCATCTGTTTTCGAGTGGCAGCCAATCAGAAATTGCCTTAAATTCAATTCAATTCAATTTTATTTATACAGCACCAAATCACAACAATAGTCACCTCAAGGCACTTTATATTGTAATGTAGACCCTACAATAATACATACAGAGAAATGGAGGGTGGTCTTTAAGAGGGGAGGATTAAAACAGATTGTCTCATACAGTAGATGAACTGAGGGGCTGCACCAAGGTCCAGTAAACAATAGGCAAAATAAAAAGAAAGCTGAAAGAACTCTTTAAACTAAAACAAGCTTTAGTCTGTTTTTTAAACATTTTTTTCACCTGTCCATTAGCTCTTCGGTGTCTTAACGGTGCTTTTCTCTCTCCTCCAGTTCTCTTTAACCTCTATTCACTCAAGCTCATAAATACAATCCAGCCAACAAAGTCTTCAATCTGGAAAAAGAACTTTAAAGATTAGCTTACATTTAGTTTAATTTAAAAAAGCAATTCTTTGAATACAAACCGACATACCTTGAATTTATCATCTGAAGCTACAGCTATGTAAATCTGTGCCCTAGAAATATTTGTTTCCACAGATGATGCCTTGTAACAAAAAACCTTTGAGAACCACTGAGCTAGACTAGGTTGCCAGCTAAAGAGTGCTCTAATTCACCAACCTGATCTTGCAGATGAGAAAATGGGGCTCTCATTGCCTACAGCAACAGAAGTCAACTTAATATAGACTCTATGGAGCCCATACCTTACCTTCTTATTTTGGATCAAAAGTTATATGTAGCACAATTCAGTTCAATTCAAGGCACTTTAAATGTTAAGATAAAGACCCTACCTACAATAATAGAGACAAAACCACAACAATCAAACCACCTTTGAACAAGCACTTGGTGACAGTGGGAAGGAAAAACTCCCTTTTAACAGGAAGGAACCTCCTGCAGAACCAGGCTCATGGAGGGGCGGGGCCATCTGCCCTGACCGGTTGGGGTGAGGAGAAGAATACAGGACAAAGACACACTGTGGAAGAGAGAGAGAGAGAGAGTTTAATAATAACTAATAACTATTGTCTGCAGTTATAAGTGTTGTATGTGTCTGCGTAATGAACTTACACAGTAAATGCTAAATAGATTAAACCCAGCACTCTCGTCCAGCTGTGATCACTCATCTCAGTACACGTCTGTGTAAATATCTTTTTGGTCTTGGTCCCATTCACAGACTACATATATAAACACAGATGTAGCCACTCTGACTCTTGTCTGTTGGTTAGTAAAGTCCTGTTGCGAAGCCTCAAAATGATTGTTTTCATTGTTGGGTTCTTGGTGTTCTGAAACTGGATGTGACATGCAAGGCGTAAATTTGCCTAAGAAACCGAGGGCGAGTGTGCGCTCATGCACAGGATCAGTGTTGTCTTAATTAAAATCAGTCAGGCATACGATAACTGTACTTTGAGTCAAACATTGAACGACCTGGAGTACTGCCACTCAACGCTAAATTCCCTGTTTTATTCACTGTCACTAATGCAGGGATGTCAAACATAAGCCCGAGGGCAGAATCGGCCCGGCAAAGACTCTAATCTGGCCTGCTGGACGGCTTTGGAAAATATGAAGGTGGGCATACATGTTTGGACTTTTAACTGCATTTTCACAAGTTTTACAGCTTTTCCTGCTAATAAAGACCTCCCTCACGGCCATCTACACTACACTAAGTATTTAAGTTGTTAAGTAATAGATTAACAATTAAATGATAGAAAAATGTCTGTTAAGTGAGCATTGGTTTTATGTTTTTTATATTTTATATTTTACACATTGTCTAGTTAAAAAAATGTTATTTTTGTGTAGACAGATTAAACTTTGCTTAAACTTTTTTGTGTATATGTTCTCAGAGTTTCAACAATTTTTTGATCTATGTCAGAAAAACTGTTTTCTTCAGTTGGACGAATCAACGCTTTAAGGGAGGCCCACACAACCAATGTTATAAAAGAGTGAGCCTCACACGAGCAGTGGCTTCGGTGGATTTACCTCTCTCCATCATAGAACACCGCAGTTAACTCTCACGTTATATCCTACGTTATATTCATTCTGAGCTTGAGCTTCAAAGGCAGCACACCTCCAGTTGATGCTCTATGACACCACGGACTAGTCAATCCATCACAAACATCTAGTTCATATTATCTCACAGTGTGCGCCACAATTTACATTCCAGCACTGAACAGTGAACTACTGTATCACCACAATACTACAGTGTTTCACTGATAAAGAAGCAAAAACTAACCGACACAGGCCTGAAGGACAGGATATTGCCCCATCGGCAGCTGGGTGAGCTGGAGGTGGAAGAGGCTGGAGACCGGCAACAAGTTCTGGTACACGCTGACCTGTGTGGGGTTTTGTGTGGGTCTCAGAAATATCTGGCGCTTCCAATATCTAACTCAGAGTCAAGGGCACGGGTAATACTTTCATGGTTTAACTATTCACAATCATGCTGCTTGAAAATAAAATATTGGAACAGGAATACTCATGTATGGCTGTGAACACATAATATTTACAGGTTATAATGTAATTTCGCATAATTTCTCATGATTATAATGTAAAATAAATATATATTAGAATGCTTTATAATAGTGGAGATGTTTCTCCAAGTTTAGTTCAACATCACTGATGTAATGTTAACATGCTGTAAAAACTGTAGTACTGTATAATAGTCCTGTTTAGATCAAATATAAGACACTACAGAGTGTCCTTTAAAACATTCACTGGCTGTACTACATCCACATAAGTGTTTTTGGTGGCTGATTTCTTTTACACCACCATAATTGCCTGCAAGATGAGCCTTAGCGACATACTGTGAAAATGTGTGAGAGAAGCTTCCCCTGTGGATTACCTCTGGTACTGGGAAACCCTGAACGCAACTCGACAAGAGGAAGGTGGGCAGCAGTGCCGCATACTGTTGTATCATGTTTGTACATGTTCTGTATCTGCGAAGTTTGTGGTATTGATACTGCTGTGAAGGTGCAGCTTATTGCTTTCCACAGAGTAAATATTTTAATTTCCCAAGGTTGCATATGTGACTTCATGCCTTCCCTGCAGTGTTGACCTTATTTCTGATAAGAGGTTTGAGTTCTTTCAATGCAGTAAAGTTTCACCAAATCTAAGCTGCATATTTAAAATTATTTTAACAATGAAACTGGATTTTGTCATCTTGAATTTAATTTAATTTCCTCCCTCTCTTCACTCTCTGAGTGTGCCGATCTTCCAGCTAAAGAGCCTTCACACTAGAGACATGCCTGCTGATTTATGAAAAACAGGTACGAGTCTCTTGAAGATTGTTTGTTTGGGGGTAAAGCAGATTATAGATTTGTAATGTAAAATAGCCTCAAAACAGTTCACCACACACTCCACTTGGGAAATCATTAAAATCATCACGCTTAAATTCTTTGTTTCCTTGTTTGTAACTTTCAACTTCATAAAATAATTAAGGACAGCTAACACGCTCAAATCAGTCGAAAAATCAAGGCAAAATACTCTGTCACAAAATGTCTGTGAAGGTTCTCAGTCATCCAGGTCATCAAATAATGTTCTGCTCACCAAAATGTTTGAGCATGTTTCAGCTGTATGTAGGTTGAAAAACTGCAGCCAGATGATACTA